ACCCACAGGTTGAGAACCACTGATTTAGAGAGTCCACAATGTGCAGTGCTTTGAGCATTGGACTAAGACTGGAGACCAGGGTTCAAATGCTCAGCCATTTTATTATTTTATTTAGAGACTCCTTACTAGGGAATCCCTGACCAGATGGAAAACTTCAGGTTATGTAATATTGTCTTAGACTAGGGAAGAAAACAAATTCCAGAAAATACTTGCATCTTGCATTTTAATGCATGCATCAAGCAACTTTTTTGTTTAATTTTGGATCTAAACCTAGTTGTTAGTATCATCTAAATCCAAAGGCATTTTACACAAGTGTTGATTTACCAAGGTTCTATTGATTGAATGAGTTGACTCTTGTTGAGATTACAATTGGATTTAAGATACAAACTGTGAAATAATCCTATTATTTAACATTATAATTACATTTTGAATCAATAATATGTTTGTTTTAAATCCTCTGGTCTGCTTGCCCTGTAGCCTGAACCCAGCTATGGTATAAAGCATGGCAAATTAGGGAGGTTTCAGAATGCATTGCTTTAGAAATTTTGTCATGTCAGGAGCGACTTGAGAAACTGCAAGTCACTTCTGGTGTGAGAGAATTGGCCGTCTGCAAGGACGTTGCCCAGGGGACGCCCGGATGATTTGATGTTTTTATCATCCTTGTGGGAGGCTTCTCTCATGTCCCCGCATGAGGAGCTGGAGCTGATAGAGGGAGCTCATCTGCCTCTCCCCGGATTCGAACCTGTGACCTGTTGGTCTTCAGTCCTGCCGGCACAGGGGTTTATTTTTTATGGAAAAAAAAATAAAAGCAGGTGTTTTCAAAACAGATGGTATCAGGGGGTAGACCTTTTGAAGTAATAGGTGATCTCTTTCACCTAGAGCAGTGGTTCTCAACCTGTGGTCCCCCAGGTGTTTGGGCCTACAACTTCCAGAAATCCCAGACAGTTTACCAGCTGTTAGGATTTCTGGGAGTTGAAAGCCAAAACATCTGGCGACCCACAGGTTGAGAACCACTGCCCTAGTGGTAATGAAATAGAAAGTTTACAACTTTGTCACAGTGATACAAGAAACTAGTACAGCTACTCTTCTGTAAGCAGTATCATCCAGATGCTGAATCTGTGCCTGAAAAGAGAGTAATAATAGAATGAGAGTGAAGGGTTTAAAAAACCTCCTCATTTCCTTTGCGATTCCAGTTAGGACTGTCCACCCCCATGGCTACTATTTCCTTTTTCCTTTTTTTTTAAAAAAAGCACACATCATACAACCACTAACTGCATAAATAGTGTCACATCTAGTTAAACTAACTGTGGGTTAAACTGGCTCTAGGGTGTGCATGTAGTATGAAGATTCAATCGCAATGTAGCTTTCTCAAGAATAGGCAAAGCTGTGCTTACTTATATACAAACTGATAACTGAATGCTTGCTATCCTAATTCTTAGCAATAAAATGTGTCCTATTCAGCACCTATTTGGCTCAGTGTCTTCCTATAATGTATATGCAAACTGATGCTGCATTTCTATTTGAACTCTTCCCTCTGGAAGCGCAGCCCCACTATTTTATCGTTATTTTTAAAAAAACAAAAACAAATGATGTATCATGAATATGAATGAAAAACAGATGACACATCATGATTACAAAGGAAAGGCAGCATTGGATTAAATGCAGTATGAGCTGGAGTTTGCAAAAATGGTAAATGATGGCCAATGTGTGCTAACTTTAGCTTAAGAAAGGGATTTAAGAAGAGTTTTCTGTCTCAAAACTGAGGTAAAATAACTCAGGTTGAGCCCCCGGTGGCACAATGGGTTAAACCCTTGTGCCGGCAGGACTGCTGACTGAAAAGTTCTAATCCAAGGAGTGGGGTGAGCTCCTGTTTGTCAGCTCCAGCTTCTCATGTGGGGACATGAGAGAAGCCTCCCACAGGATAGTAAACATCTGTGCGTCCCCTGGGCAACGTCCTTGCAAATGGCCAACTCTCTCACACCAGAAGCAACTTGCAGTTTCTCAAGTCACTTGTGACATGTAAAAAAGTTGAAAGGAGATGGTCCCTGCCTTGTTTTTTAGGGCTGGGCGGTTTCGTTTCGTTAATTCGTAATTCGTTAATAATTCGTTAATTTTTCAATTACAAAACGATAACGAACCATTCTGGAGCAATTATTAAAAAAACGAATTTTCAAAAACGTTTTGTAAATGCTTCGTATTTCGATATTGTATTCGTTTCGGTATTGTTTTGAGGTCGTTTCGTTATTATTTCCGCATGTCTGGGCCAGTTTTATGGTTTAATTAGTGAAAAAAAATTATAATATCACACCAACAGTCAACAACAGAGGGAGAGGGAAGCTTCAGAAGGTTTTGGAGGTTTTTTAGCGTATTTCGCGGTCGCGTCCGCCATTAACGAATCGATTCGTTATTGTTTCGGAAATCGATTTGTTAATTTTTTTACCATTTACGAAATTTCGTAAATATCGAACTTTTTAAAAGGAAAATTTTGTAATTATTTTAAATATCGAAACAAAAAAAACCCCTAAATACAAATCGATTTTAGAAACAAATTTTTCCGTTGTTACCCAGGCCTATTGTTTTTATTAAATGTTAGCCCTGCTTTTTTTTGTTAAATGTTAGCCCTGATGTGTGAATTTAGACCACACACATGTGATAAGCATCTAATCCATTCTCAATATCCAAGGAACATACATTATTTTCTTGAACAAATCATTTTATTCTTTTGAAGGGCATCTTTACCCACCCACCTAAAGCAACATGAGGGTGGGGAGGTCTTCTTTTGCCAGTTTTATCATGTTTGGCCTCATTAAATATTTGATAAAATGGCTGATATGCAATATAGCGTTTTCCCAGCCTCCCACTCACCAGGATTGTGTCAGAGCAAGCTTAACCAGGGACTCATTTTTCCCCCTTCCTTCTCTACATTGATAACATTAGACCTGTTTTCTGTATCAACCCAATGCAGCAATGCTTCCCAACCTTTGATCCTCCGGGTGTTTTGTACTTCACCTCTCACAATTCCTAGCAGCTGATAAGCTGGCTGGGATTTCTGGGAGTTGAAGTCCAAAACAATTGGAGGAGTAAAGGTTGGGAACTACTGTAACAGGGAACAGCTATTGCTAAAATCAGAGCAAGCGTGGCATAGTGATTTCAGTGTTGGATGACAACTCTGGAGAACAAGGTTCAAATCCCCGCTTGGCCATGAAAACCCATAGGGTGACCTTGGGAAAGTTACACACTCTTGGACTCAGTAAACCTTGTGACAGATTTGCCTAAGGGGTGCACACCATAATGCAGCTCTTGCTCAAGACAGAATAGCTGTGTAGAGGAGAGGGAGCACCAGGGATTCAGGGAGTGCAGTGCAGCAGGCATAATGATGTCATCTGCTGGACATCCAGAGTAATACATTCACCTGGTAAGAGCCTTATTTTCAAAGGCATTGATGTATCTGTTCATTATATTTAGGACGTGTTGCTATGTAACATCATCCTACAATCAGTGAAAAATATTTTAAAATGAGCCTTACCAATGTGCCAGTGTGCCATAGTGGTTTGAGTGCTGAACTAGGAAACTGGGAGACCCGGGTTCAAATCCCTGCTCAGCCATGGTCAAGTCACATTTGCTCATCTTCAGCCCATCTCAACAAATTGTGTCATGGAAAACCCATGAAAGGGACATGTAAAAGTCACAAAAAATCAGAAACAATTTGAATGCTCACATTATATAACATGGTCCCTTAACCCTCAGCCACCAGGGACAATCACCCTTGGACTAAGTGAGTTATTCTCTCACCTCAATGAGGATTCCAGTATATGGAGGACAGTTCCAATGCCTCCTGGGTCAAGATGGGACCAACCTAATAAAACCAGAACATGTTATCATTTACCAAAAATGGCATTTTTGTCTCGATCTATTACACTGACAGTGCAAAAGTCATTGTCAAAAGAATCCCTCTCCAGTTTTCCCACAACAACTGTATGGCCATCTGTATGGTTGGATGACCATCTGACGGGGCTTCTTTGAATGTGATTTTCCTGCTTCTTGGCAGGGGGTTGGACTGGATGGCCTACGAGGTCTCTTCCAGCTCTATGATTCTATGTACATGGCAAGTGGCAGATATGTGAAAATGACATAGAAGACACTGAAGGCTTGGTTTTGTATTGTTTTGTGTTATTGTGTGCTTTCAAATTGTTTACAGCCTACATCAAACCCAGATGACTCTTTCACAGGGTTTCCATGGAAAGATTTGCTCAGAAATCTGCCATTGCCTTCCTCTGAGACTTGCCCAAACTCACCCAATGGGTTTCATGGCCAAGTGCTGAATTGAATCCTGATGTGATTCTTGGGACTAAAATGCTCCCTTCTTGTAATCTAGGACTTATTTTCACAGTTGTGCCTCACCATTTTCCCCTAGAGTTTAGACTGAGACTGACACAAATAATTATTGATTACATTATTTTGTTCTCCTAGTAAGCCTACAAAGCAGGCTAGGCCCAGATAATTTGTTCATGGTCACTGGACCAGTGAGTTTCAGGACTAATAAGAGATATGAGTGGAAGTCTCTCTAGCCAAAGTCCAGTGGGCTAGCAACTAGAACGTCTTTTTGCCAGCTCAATATTCTGTGAGTGACAGAGAATCTTAATAATCTAGGCATTGCTGTTTCTCTTTGCAGGGAGGTAGACTATCCCAGGAAGGCTATAGCTCAAGGCACTGTCACAATGAGCTTCTGATGTTCAAAATTTACCACTACATCACTGACCCTGAAAGACCCTGAACTGGAGTCAACAATGATGTGTAAGCAAATGGCAGAATAATAATTGCTTCGCAATGGCAGCCTTACTTCCCTAATTCCCCTGAGGCCAACAGCAAAAAACAAATAGACAAACCCAGTAACTGAAAATAAACTTTTTAAATGTTGTTCCATTGCAGTGAACCTTTTCATGTGAAATCTAAATAGTGCCATCTTGCCTCACAACTAACTTTTCAAAAGTGCTGTGCAGAGAAAACTGACGATGTCGGAGAGGAGAGAGGAATATTAACTCTATGGACTTTTATCATTTGAAACATCACTGATGCTGGCTCCAACCCACAAGCTTGGTGAGTTTAAATCCTGATCCAAATTGACAGGTTTCAAATGTGAAACCAAACATTCAAAAAGCATATTTAGATCCTTTTTGCAGTATCTGGTGATTTAGAATTTTCTTTTAGTAGAGAAGTGACTCTCCCTCCTCCCACTGCTCAATGCTGTAAAAATTGTGTTTGGTAAAAACAAATAATTGCCTTTCTGTGCATTCTGCTTCATCTGGCATGATATCACGCCTTGCAATAAGAGAGAGAAACAAAGCGTCTTCCTTGTTTCTTTTATGATGAGATGCCTGCATATTTTGAAGCCCCCTCTCCCCACAAGGAATGCTGTGTACTCTTGTGAGCAAGACAATAGAAAATTAGTGTTGACAAGTTCGAAAGCATTTGGAGGAGATGTAACAGGATGATAAATTATTTGGATTGAAAGTCATGTATTTCAGTCTGGAGAAATGTCATTAAAGGAGAAGAGAAAACAGCTGTCATCCATGTCCAGCAAGGGGAAGAATAGAAGCAATAGGATTAAATTACAGAAAAATAAACAATTTCTACATAACCATTCAGGATGAGGACAGTCTGCCTCAGCATTATTCAAGAGCAGCATAGACAGGAGCAGGCAAGCTTTAGGGCACAGTGTCCCGGTTCAGGCTGCTGGGCTCCTCCACCCCTTTCAACTTTGGTACTCTAATGTTTATTTAATTCAAAAAGTGAATATAAAATAGGAGCCTGCGAAATATATGCAGAGTAAATTGCACAGTCATTAGCTCTAAGAGGACAGAAACACATCAAGAATGTGATGTGTTCTATCTTCACCCAGCAGAAAGTCGTAGCTAATAGTAGGGCTGGCAGCAGACTTTTGATATTGTGGAAGGACAGCACATGATGAAGCTGCTGCCACAAAGTGGAAGAAATGATTGTGGAACTTTCTGGCACAGCTTGGAAGAGTCATGTTTCATAGAACTGGAAGAGACCACAATGGCCATCCAGTATAATCCCTTGCCATGCAGGAACAAACAATCAAAGTACCACTGACAGATGGCTATCTAGCCACTGCTTAAGACAGGGGTCCTCAAACTTTTTAAACAGAGGGCCAGGTCAAAGCCCCTCAAACTGTTGGAGGGCTGGATTATAATTTTTAAAAAACATGAATGAATTCCTATGCACACTGCACATATCTTATTTGTAGTGCAAAAAACACTTTAAAACAATTCTTAAAATGAATAACAATTTTAACAAATATAAACTTATTAGTATTTCAATGGGGAGTGTGGGCCTGCTTTTGGCTGGTGAGATAGGATTTTAGACTTAGGTTGATCCTGAGCGAGGGCCAGGTAAATGACCTTGGAGGGCCACACCCGGCCCCCAGGTCTTAGTTTGAGGACCCCTGGCTTAAGACATTTGTTTCTGGATTACATTTCCCAGAATTGCCTAGCCAGAAAAGAAAAAAAGGATCATCTTCAAACTCTGCTTTCTGTTTCATCCAGTCATTACTTGGTAGCTTCAGGTACTACTGTGTTTCCCCTAAAATAAGACACTGTCTTATATTTATTTTTCCCCAAGAAGACACACTATGGCTTATTTTCAGGAGATGTCTTATTTTTTATTAAGTATGGTACAGCAGTCTTCTTGAGGAAAAATAAATAAAAGACCTCCAGCAAAGTGCCAGTTTCTCAGAGCCTCTTAAAGGGAAAGGAAGGCTTTTGCACAACACAAGGTGGGGGGACTTTTTTTCCTTTTCCTTAATGCGGTCGCCTTCCCTAAGGCAAAACACCCCTCTGCTTGCTCTTGGCATGGTCCAAAGCCCTCTCCCCTCCATGAAAATACTCATATTCTGATTTTAACCTTCCTACCTGATTGGCTCCACAGTGTTGAATCAGAACCCATAGGCATATATATCATTAAGTAAGTAAGTAAGTAAGGAAGGAAGGAAGGAAGGAAGGAAGGGGGTGGCATCTGCTGCTTTGGCTATGTCTTCCCTTTGCTACTACGAGGGTTGAATGAAAAGTAATGCCTCCACCTTCGTTACTTGGATTTGGATGGGAATATTTTAATAAATCAAATGCAGAAATAATCTTTAAAATGTGCTCTTTAACTACCACTATTCACTTTTTAACATAATCATCAGACAATTGGATACATTTCTGCCAACGATGAACAAGTTTTCTGAAGCAGACACTCTGTTTCTGCAACCAACGTCTCACAGTTCACTTAACATCTTAATCAGCAGCATAATGATGTCCCCGTAGATCTTCTTTCATTATTGGGAACAGATGGAAGTCAGATGGTGCTAAATCAGGACTGTATGGAAGATGTCATACGGTGGTGAGATCCAGTCTCTGAAGTTTCAAGTCTGTGCGCTTTCATTTCAGGCGTCAGCATCCTGGGTACCCATCATGCACTGATCTTCCAATAATGTGACCCATGTGTTCTTGTGAAATGCCGATTATGCTTGAAATTTCTCTCTGAGTGATACAATGATCATTCGGAATCAATCTGTCAACCTTTTGCTTGTGAAACTTGGTGGTTGCTGTCACAGGACGGCCAACTCACACAAGTCAGATGTTCCCACATCAACAACTTTAAACTTATTCACCCAATGATGCACAGTACTCACATCAACACAATCACCATAAACAGCTTGCATTCTCTGATGAATCTCCTTTGGTGTGCACCTTCTGCTGTCAAGAATTCAATGACTGCACATTGCTTAAGTCGCATTGACCGACCGTCTGCGCAGGGCTCCATACTTTGCACTTTAACAACACAACCATTGAATGCTAAGGCTTCCCGCCAAAATGGAACTGTAGAAGAGAGTCTACTGAACAAGCCAGTATCTGCCGCATACCAATACGGCCATCTGTTGAGGAGTTATGAAGGTAGAGGCATTACTTTTCATTCAACCCTCGTAGCTCTCCCACTGTCATCCAATGAGTCAAATCTCAATTTCATTCAGAATCTTATAGACTTTTCCAGTTCCCAATTGAAAGCATGGGCCAAGAAATGTCATCAAAAGCAGAGACCTTCTTAATAGGAATAGAGTGGATTTCCCATTTTCCCTTTCGATGGAGTTCAAATGAGGGTCTGAAGTGGTGAATGCATGCTAACTTGACTTGGATCTTCTTTCTCTACCTAGGATTGGGAAGAAACTACTCCTATTCTTTCCAAGTAGGCTGCATAGCCACACCTATCACAATACCTTATATTCAGGGTATGGCTTACATTGCACAAATGCTTAGAAATCCTGCTATGGCTTATTTATGAGTATGTCTTATTTTAGGGGCAACACAGTATGCATGCTGAACTTAATGGATGGAAACACTATCTCCTTCCCTGCCTTAGGCAGCAAAATGTATTAGACTGGCACGGACTAATAAATAGTGCAGACCTGTATTTAGTATACAGTAACTGTCAAATATTTATTATTTATTTATTTTATTTATTTATTTGCTTTATTTTTATACCGCATTTTTCAGCCTAATTCGGCGACTCAATGCGGTTTACAATGCAATTTATATAACAGTAACAATTAGTTAAAACACAACATACACGACAGACAATACAAGACAACACAACATAGTCATCAACGCCCCAGTAAAAATCAGATTCCGTTCTCATAATCCTTCTACCATTCCTTGTTCATTTATACCGTCTTCATGAGTTCAGTTGCATTGTTGGCCGAACGCTTGTTCATAGAGCCTTCTTGACCTTCCTCCGGAACTCCAGCAACGAAGGGGCCTGCCTGATGTCTACAGGTAGGGCATTCCATAGACGAGGGGCCACCACCGAGAAGGCCCTGTCCCTCGTCCCCGCCAGCCGCGCCTGCGACGCAGGCGGGACCGAGAGGAGGGCCTCCCCGGACGATCTTAACGTCCTCGTCAGTTCATAGGTGGAGATGCGTTCGGAGAGGTAAGCAGGGCCAGAACCGTTTAGGGCTTTATAGGCTAATATGTTCTCAAAAGTGCCTGAAACCAATTTTTCGGGGCTGTCAAGGGGATTCAGGCCTGTGTGAGCTCTCAGTGTGAATAAAGACTTTTATGACAATGGGTGCAGATGTTTGATGCTAAAGGAACAATAACATCTTGGGTTCTTGTGGGTTTTTTCGGGCTATAGAGCCATGTTCTAGAGGCATTTCTCCTGATGTTTCGCCTGCATCTATGGCAAGCATCCTCAGAGGTGTGAGGTCTGTTGGAAGTAGGAAAAATGGGTTTATATATCTGTGGAATGGCTGGGGTGGGGCAAGGAGCTCTTCCCTGCTGCAGTTAGGTGTGAATGTTAGCTGATCACCTTCATTAGCATTTGAAGGCCTGCCTAAGCCTGGGAAATCTGTTGCTGGGAGGTGTTAATCTGTGCCTGGTTTTTTTCCTCTCTGTTGTTTAGCTGTTATAATTTTAGAGTTTTTTAATACTGGTAGCCAGATTTTGTTCAATAACATCTTGCTTTCCAAACATGCATTGAAGCTACTGGAGATGGTAATGGCAGTGGTGTCATTTTTCAGAAGTTACAGAAAACTGGGAGTTTTACCATCACTTAGGCTAATCTCCTAGGCCTACCCAGCATAGCCAATGATGAAGAAAGCTAGAAGATCTATCCCAGTCATATCTAAAGAGCTAACCAATTCCCACCCCTGATTTAGGCCTTTATCCCTTGAAGCAGCAATGAAAAGCCTCCTCAATCTTCTTTGTGGAGTTCTTTCAGACAGTTGAAATCCACTTTTATGGCTTCCCTTAATTGTGTCTTGTCCTACCTAAACTAATCCATACAGTCCAGCCTCAAGGACGTTTATTTTAATGTAAGTTCCCCAAAGTCAGTGAACTCACATTAAAGCATTCTTGGAATAGCAGTCTTAACAGCCCTTCACTAAGCAGAATAGAGTTTCTAGGGTTTTCATTCTTTCTTCTGAACAGCAAGATGGCCATGACCTGCACTGAGCTACTTCACAGACAGGGTGTTACACTGCTTAATAGTTAATCAGTCTCTGGGTACAGCATCTGCCTTCGCCCGAAGTGCTTCGGATC